ATGAATTCTACTAAAGGGAAAAATGGAGAGGTAGAAAAAGCTGGCAGAGAAAGGTAGGGAAAGCTGGCAGATATTGACATGACCAGGTGATCAAGATTAACATTACCAGTGGTGGGAATCATGTGCCTTTAGATGTGAGGCACCAAGAACATTAACAATTTAAGACCTCAGGCTGCTCATGAGGAAATATCAGAGCAATCCAAGTAAAGTCTAAACTCTTTAAAACCAGTAAGAACACAAAGATAGAGAAAGCATAAGTGTTCAAGACTGAAGGAATCTGAAGAGAATAACAACTCAACATTACACATGTTCCTGGATAAGATTCCAGACCAGACAGGAAATACAGACGTTGGGATGGCTGGCAAAATTTCAGCAGCACCTGTGGATTATGTAGTAGGATTGTACGTACCAGAGCTAATTTCCTGGCTATATGCTAGCTAGGTAGGAGAGTGGCTTTGTTTTGGAAGATATGAAGTCAACAGCTATGCAATGTACCTGAACAGGATATAGAATTATTTGTACTGTTGTGGCAACTTTTCTATAAATCTGAATTCATTTCATATATAACTTTTTTTTTTTTTTGGAGATAGAGTATCACTATGTCACTGAGGCTGGAATGCAGTGGTGCAATATTGGCTCCCTGCAACCTCCACCTCCTACGTTCAAGTGACTCTGCTGCCTCAGCCTCCTGGGTAGCTGAGATTGCAGGCCTGTGCCACAACACCTGGCTAATTTTTCTATTTTTAGGAGAGACGGGGTTTCATCATGTTGGTCAGGCTGGTCTGAACTCCTGACCTCATGTGATCCAACCATCTTGGCCTCCCAAAGTGTTGGGATTACAGGTGTGAGCCACTGCACCCAGCCTATAACATGTTTAAAAGTACTGGCTTAATTCACATGGAGTCTATATGGCATGGTTGCCTACTTTCTTTAGCCTAAATCTTGATTAAAAGTGCGATGGAAGATGAGTAAGTGGATTTTGAATCCAATATTCTGAACACACACCACAAATGCAGAGAAGAGAAACAAATCCTCCCAAAGAAGTTAAAAGACCTAAACAAAAGAGAAAATACAAAAAACTTACCTCATACATTTTTCTAGAACTTCTCTTACAAACTTTGGTTTGGGACTTTCGGGATCTTGACTAAGACAATCTGACCTAATGAAGAAATGTAGTTTTATCAATTCTTACATACCATCTACACTTATACCCATTTATACTATAATTATCTGTTAACTTATAACAACTTAGAAGTTAAGTTATAACTGCACTTATAACTATTTGTACTTAACTATACAAATAATTTCCTTCCAAGAAATTAAATATTTCAGACACTTTTATGTTACAATTTTAAACACTAGCAGTTTTCTGACTACAGAAAGGAAGGATAAAACACACCACCACTTACCAATCTTCCCAGCTCCAACGGAACTGGAAGTTACTTAGATGATGAGAAAACCAATTAATAAACCTATGTAGAGGAGGGGGAGGTGGGGAGAGAAAAAAAATGGCTGTGATTTACAACATAAATTTATAGAAACCTTCAAACAGATAAAACTCAGTTTTACAGAGTTAATGAAAAGCACATTCCCCTACATACAGCTCTATCTCCTACCGACCCTCTTTATCCTTTTTAGGTCAATGACATATACATTTCTAGTACGTGTTTTGTGTGGGCACCTAGTATGTTATTATTTAATTCTCACGACTTCCAAGGTACATATTATTTTCCCCATATACATGAGGATGAAATTGAAGGAAAAAAAAAAAAGATTTAAGAAATGGTGGCCAGGTGCAGTGGCTCATGCCTGTAATCTCAGCTACTCAGAAAGGAGGCTGAGGCAGGAGGACTGCTTGAGCCCACAAGTTCAAGGTTATAATGTGCTATGCTCATGCCACTGCACTACAGCCTGGGTGACAGAGCAAGACCCTGTCTCCAAAAAAAAAGAAAAGAAAAAAGAAAACTTCAGATAAAGCGATTACTGTACCTGTCTACACAGGTGGTATTCATTGTGTCCAAACGCATGTATAGCATTTCCGTTGCCTGTGCAAGCTGTGAATTTAGGATAAGGAAAACTGTTCTCTACCTTTATCCCAAATAAGTTGTAACAGACAAAAATAGAAACAAAACATTTCCCTTAAGTCTTTATAATGATTAATGTTAAACATCTTTTCACACAATTGATCTTGTTTTTTTACAGCTTTGAAATATCAGTGATGTATAATGAATTTGACCTGCATACACTAGTGAAATGAAGATAATATTTTTATCACCTCCCAAATTTCCCCATGCTCCTCCAAATGCATAGGCATACACTATTTTATTGTGCTTAGCAGAAATTGCATTTTTTTTTTTTTTTTTTTTAACAAACAAAGTCTGTGGCAGCCCTGCACGAGCAAGTCTACTGGCACCATTATCCCAGTGGCATATACTCACTTCATGTCTCTGTGTCACATACTGGTAATTCTTACAATGATGCAAGCTTTTCCATTGTTAATTGCTGCAATCTAATAATAAAACTTAAAAAATAAGAAGCTGCTTTCTATGGATGAGCAAAGAAAGCAGTTTCTTGAGATGAATTAACTCCTTGTGAACACTGCTGAATGACAACAAAGGATTTAGACTACCATAGAAACTTAGCTAATAAAGCAGTGGCAGGGTTTGAGAAGATTAATTCCTTCAAATTTCGAGTGTGGGTAAAATGCTATTATCAAACAGCAATACATGCTTCAGAGAAATCTTTTGTGAAAGGGAAAGTCAATCTATGCGGCAAATTTCATTGCAATTTTTGAACTTCCTGACCCAAATAGTGAATTATGTATCTACAGATACATACGTATTTATAGACATACAAGTACATACATGTAATACACACAACACACTTCAAAAGCTACTTTTTTTTACTGGCAAAATTTAAACCCATAAGCAGAAATATTTAATAATCTTTTAAGACCAGGCCAAAGAGATTAAGTTTAAAAACAAAGGGAAGGATACAACTTGGGGTAGAGAGCCAGGCTGAAGTTTGCACAGTTCAATGAGAAGTGTTGTGTACATCACATCAATGTGAGGAGGTGCTGGAAGTTGAAACAGCTCTGCAAAGATCACCTACAAAATAATCATGAGTCATCATTCAATTCAACTGTTACCTTTGCACTTCTATTAGAAAGACCTTAACATTCTAAATCTGAGCTCTAACTCCATGACATTTTAAATGAAAATGGAATTACTTTTTAATATTTAAAATTATGCTCTTTCAAACACAAAAACCTAAAATTGAAACTGTAATGAAAAGTTCTACTCTCTGCAATCTGATCAAATAAAAACATATGACACTAATGCCTATTTGATCTATACTCCTCCCAGAAAACTATGCAATTAAATTCCAACTTTGAAAGTATCAGTTGAGACAAGGAAATACAGCTTTTTGAGGGGCTCAAAAGATCCATGACAGTTTCATTCCTGTAAGTAGTAAGAACTCTTTGGCCGGGCGCAGTGGCTCACGCCCGTAATCCCAGCACTTTGGGAGGCCAAGGCAGGCAGATTACTTAAGGTCAGGAGTTCAAGACAAGCTTGGATAACATGATGAAACCCCGTCTCTACAAAAAATACAAAAATTAGCTGGGTGTGGTGGTGGGCACCTATAGTCCCCGCAACTTGGGAGGCTGAGGCAGGAGAATTGCTTGAATCCAGGAGGCAGAGGTTGCAATAAGCTGAGATTGTGCTACTGCACTTGAGCCTGGGTGACAGAGCGACACTCCATCTCAAAAAAAAAAAAAAAAAAAAAAAAAAAAATCCTGTTAGATTCTGGGGACAGGAAACAAGATAATCAAGTCATTCCACACTGTTATTTGAAATAGATGCCCAGATCTTTCTGGCAATCCAAGGCTTCCTTGCTATGCCTCTTATTCAGAAGCTTCCTTCCCACCTTCTCTGTGTAACTGGTGGACCATCTGCCTAGAATTCTAAAGCCCTAGTCTGCATCCTTTACTCTTACCCATCTCTCACACTTCTACACTTTGGTCTAATGAATACCTATAAATTTTGCAGATTTAAAAATGACGTATTTTGCATTTCAAGCATGTCACTGAAATGAGCCAAGTTTACAGCGTTAAGTATACACAAGTTTTGTAAAGAAGGGAAATACACAGTACTTTTTTAAAAAAGCACAAAAGTGCATTATTAATAAAATGTGAATCTTAATACATCCTATCAGGCCCGGTTAGCTTAGTCAGTAGAGGATGAGACTCTTAATACATCCTATCTATGCTCTCTCTTTCATGAATGCTAATTTATTTATTTTGAGATGGGGTCTCACTCTGTCACCCAGGATGGAGTACAGAGGCACAATTTCGGCTCACTGCAGCCTTGACCTCCTGGGCTCAAGTGATCCTCCCACCTCAACCTCCCAAGTCGCTGGGACTACAAATGCACACTACCATGCCTGGCATTTTTTTTTTGTATTTTTAGTGGAGACAGGGTTTCGCCATGTTGCCCAGGCTGGTCTTGAACTCTTGGGCTCAAACTATCAGCCTGCTTCAGCTTCCCAAATTGCTGGGATTATAGGCGTGAGCCACCACGCCCGGCCCATGAA